GGAATCTCTCCAACATCCTCAGCCGTGAAGACTGAAGCAAAGAAATCAGTTAGTTTCTCCGCAATGGCTTTATCGGCCTTGATTGCTCCTTTTATAGCACGATCGTCTAGGGGACCCACAGGTTTTTAAGCAGGCTTCCTGCTTCTAATATACTTAAACATTATTTCTTTTTGTGTTTTTGGCTAGCTGTTCCTCAAAATCTTTTTTTGCTTTTCTTATTACATGTTTACACTTGATTTGACAGTGTTTATGTTCCTTTCTATTTATCTCACTAGGATTGGACTTCCACTTCTTAAAAGATACCTTTTTGTCCCTCACTGCTTCTTTTACATGGTGGTTAAGCCACGGTGACTCTTTTTTAGGTCTCTTGCTATGTTTTTTAATTTGGGGTATACATTTAAGTTGGGCCTCTATTATGGTATCTTTAAAAAGTTTCCATGCAGCTTGTAGGGATTTGGCTCTAGTCACTGTGCCTTTTAATTTCTGTTTAACTAGCCTCCCCATATTTGTGTAATTCCCCTTTTTGAAATTAAATGCCAGAGTGCTGGACTGCTGAGGTGTTCTTCCCACCACAGGAATGCTAAATGTTATTATATTATTCCCAAGCGGTCCTGTAACTTCTCCTGGACCGGATCCTGCTCTCCACTCAGGACTAAATGGAGAATTGCCTCTCCCCTTGTGGGTTTCTGTACCAGCTGTTCCAAGAAGCAGTCATTTAAGCCATTGAGAAATTTTATCTCTGCTTCTCTTCCTGAGGTGACATGTATCCAGTCAATATGGGGATAATTAAAGTCCCCTATTATAATAGAGTTCTTTATTTTGGTAGCCTCTCTAATCTCCCTCAGCATTTCAATGTCAGTATCGCTGTCCTGGTCAGGTGGTCGGTAATATATCCCTGCTAATTTCTTATTATTGGAGCATGGAATTACTATCCATAGCGATTCTATTGAACATGTCGATTCATTTAATATTTTTATTTCATTTGAAATGCACACAAGTATGCATTTTAATATGGCTAAATGCAAGAAGTGTGCCTCTAGGAACAAAGGACCTATGCCATACTTACAAGATAGGGAACTCTCTCCAGGGGAGACCATTGTGGAGAATAAGATGCAGAGGTTGGTCCATGGTGGATTATCATCTAAACATGAGCTCCCAGCACAACGTTGTGACCAAAAGAGCCAATGAAATCCTTGGATACATAAATAGGGGAACCTCGAGTAGGAGCAGAAAAATATTTACCTCTGTATTTGGCACTGGTGGAATACTACATCGAGTTCTGTTATCCAAAATTCAAGAAAGAGATTGATAAATTGGAGAGGGTTCCAGGAAGAGTTGTGTGAATGAATAAAAGATTAGAAAACAGGCCTCAATGACAGATTGAGCTCCTTGAATCTACTTATCTAAGCAAAGAGGGAGTTAAAGGGTGACTTGATTATAGTCTACAACTCTACACATGGGGAACAAATGTTTAATAATGGCTCTTCAATCTATCAGAGAAAGATATAACACAATACAATGCTAGACTTGAAGTTAGATTAATTTACATTGGAAATATTTTGTCCTTTTTTCAACAATGAGAATAATGAACCATTGGAACAATTTACCAAGGGTTGTGGTGGATTCTCTACCATGGACAATTTTCAAATCAAGGCTGGATGCTTTCCTAAAAGATTTGCTCTAGAAATTATTATAAGGCCGTTCTATGGGCTGTGTTCTATAGGAAGTCGGACAAGATGATCACAGTAGTCCCCTGGAATAAAAGAAGAGCTGCTTTGGTTTGATAAGTTCATGTATTATTGAAAATTACCCCTTCTCCCTTTACCCAAGAGACTGGGGAACTGAAAATGCCTAAAGCCAGCCTGCTAAAATGTAATGCTTTCTACCTCTCTCAGCTGAAGGATGAGTTAGGGCAACAGTGGAAAGTTTTTAAAACCTAGTTCTGCCAGACAACACCTGCTTTAGCTAACGGTGTGATTCCTACCTACCTCTTGGACAGCACTGTCTGTACATCTCAGTGCTTTCTGCAAAGGAAGCATGAAATGAATAACAATATATCCCAATTGTTAAGTCCAGCAGTATTAGGAAAATGATCCACTAAGGACACTGGTTTTCAGATATGGACTAGGGATGTTAAAGACTAGTCGATTATCCGATAAGCATTTGCTTATCGGATAGTCTGTCGATTAGTCAATTCCCCCTGCCCTCCCCCCACTGCCTCTATGAGATGATAAAGTGGGTGAAGGGAGGGGAGGAAGGGGTACTTCATAGGGTGCTGCTTTGAAACACCAAGGCGGCATTTCAAAGGGGCAGCCTCTGCACAGCGGATCAGCTGTGCAGAGGCTCCCCCTTTAAAACACCAGCTCTGCACTTTTTCAAAAAGGTAGCCGTGGAGCCCGGGGGCAGCTGGGGACTCCTCAGCTGATCCCGGGCTCTGCACGGCATTTCCCCAGAACCCAGGGTCAGCTGGGCAGTCCCTAGCTGGCCCTGAGCTCTGCGTAGCATGCAGCGTAGCATGGAGCCCGGGGTCAGTGGGGGACTCCATATCTTTGAAAAGCACAAGAGCCCCCGCTGGGGACTCTTGTACATTTCAAAAGCAGGCACCCGCATGCAGCCCGGAGTCAGTGGGACTTCCTGCTAGCCCCAGGCTGTACCCGGAGTTCCACATTCCTCCTCTGAAATGTGCAAGAGTCCCAGTGGACGTGCCTATCGACTAGTCGATGGAAATTCCATCGACTAGTCAATTAACCGCATTTTAAGATCCCTAATATGGATATCCTGCTTTTCTGTAAACAGGTGTTCAACTCCCGCTGAATTGCCAGAGTTGGGAGATAGAATCATGCTGGCTGTTGGGCCTGGCAGAACATCAACACTGTTACAGAAAGCGTGATGGAAATGAACAGATTACCCCATCTATGCTAGCAATAGAATCTCTTTCAGAATTGGCTGAAGAGGCCCATTGCAGAGACAGAGCCTTCAGCTCTCAATTTACAATTTTAGTTGCTATGTAGCTTAATATACCCCTCCAGTCATTCAGCTTGCACATCGGGGAAACCTGAAATGTAAGAGATGTAGGACTGGCTAAATCAGTTTCCTTACTGCTTTTCATATTTTTTTCGTTACCTCAGATCTGCCCTTGTTTGGGATCTGCAGTTACTAGAATCACTCTCTACCTTTTCCTCTTCAAACAATATGGGCTCTAGGAAGGCACGAGGGTTGTCACGTCAATAATGCAAAACCCTGTTGCTTCGAAGTCAGCTGTTCTGGCGTGAAGTGCATAGTAGGCTATGCTTATTAACAAAATAGGAAATCTGATCTATAGAAAGAAAACACTGGGGATTAATCCTGGATTGCAGACTGTGGCCAACACTGGGCCTTCATCCAAACACCAATGACAAGGAATGAAATTTTCTCCCACCTGTCGCTTAAAGCAGGTACAACTATTGCTGTGTTGTATTCTCTCTGCTACAGCTATTGTAACAAATCCCTTTTATATTGGTTTCAAATTCATGACTAAGTTCATTATTTTGTTTCTTCATTGTTTTGCCAACAACCAGCAATGAATTGTGAATTTTCCTTCCACAAAATTGCAAATAAAAAAAAAGTGACTCAAGTGGGTTGTGCCCATGAAAGCACATGATAATATATATCTTTTGATAGTCTCTACGGTGCTACAGGGTCACTCTAAGTTACAGACTAACACAGCTACCCATCTGAGACTACAAATTTTGACAGCTAGTTTCTAACACACACATTCCTCAGATTGGCATTCTAAGGGAAGCTTGAATGGTCAGTTTAACAGGTAAATGCAACTTTAAATAATATCTTGAAACAGATTTTGAATTACTCCATGTAGGGGGAAAAAATTACATGTACTATTGAAGTGGCTTAAAATAGCTGTGTTAGCCTATTAGAGTAACACAGGGTGGCTGTAACACAGGGGACAGAAATCTCTATTGCAATGCACTATCCCTGCCATAAAGAGTTGTATTGTGAACTCACTTAAGTAGCCTTAGTGATAGTGATGTTTGTGATTGAAAATGACCAAGGCTTTACTTTTTTTTTCTTCCAAAAAGATTCTCCCACTTGTGGTTGGACTGGCACTATTGTTGTAGACAATCCCACAGCTGAGCCCTATTAATTTTTCTCCAAGCACAGCAGGGTCAACATACTCAATGATGCTGAAATGGTCCCCTTCTCACAGAGCTTTGCCGGTCACAGTACAGCCTATGTAATGGCTGCATCACAAATGCAATTCCTTTTTCTCCCACTCAGAGACCACATCTGCTGCTGTATTGAAACCCAGAGACTCACTTCATGATGAAGATTTTTGAATTCCATTAAATCACAAGATGCAGCAGCAGCTTTGGATTACAATGGATCAATAAGTAATAACAGTCCGATTTCAGTAGTGGACCAAAAGTTTGGAGTCCTATGGTATGGAAACTGAAGAATCTCTTTATAGCAGCAAAGACTGTCTGTCAAGCCTTGAACACATCCATCATGTTGGATGACAGTGCAAAACACCATAATCAATGCAGATAGACATTCAGATTTGAGAACAACTGTGTATCTACTAAAAAGCATTATCCTATTTCTCTATACCTATCCACCAGGAGCATGGGAGGGAATCAAAACAGAGCACTATATTCCATTTTCTACAAGGTCAAAAGAATTAGTAGTATGCAATTCAAGTTTATCACTATCCATTTTAAAAATGCTGGAATCTAAAAACTAATACCAACATCCTCAGGTCAAAATCTGGATTTTCAAATCCCGTCAGTATTTCTGGATTTTCAAATCCCGTCAGTATTTTTGGATTGCCGGGGTTGTTTGGGGGATTTTCCAATGCATTCCACACCAAAACGGATAAGCCTTTAAATAAAAAAAAAAAAGTAGCGTGAGGCTACTCAAAATAAATTGAGCCCTGCACCTTCCAGGACTGATGCCTTCTAACTCCCTTTATCCTATCACACGCTGGTATCTGCCAAACAATTCAATACTGCCACTTCAATGCACTATGTGATACCATGTGCTTCAAGCATCTTACAATATTACTATCTACAAATCTGTAAGTCATTTTCCACAGCACCATATGTGAATAATAAAGTGAATGATTTCTTTATGCATTAAGGATATAAATAAATCTCACTTGGATTAGAGATGTAATAGTGTAGTCGATTAACTGATAAGCAAAAGCTTATAGATTAATGCTATAGTGTACAAGCATTTCTCCCTCCCTCCCTGCTAGTACATTTTTTAGCAGGCTGGCCAGGAGCCCAGTTCAGTCCTGGCTTGTACTGGGTCCAGGACCAATCCCCACTGCAGCTCTGCATTTAAAGCGTTTTAGGAGCCAGGTGGGCAGGCAGCTCAGCTCAGTTCTGGCTTGTGCTAGGTCCAGGAGCTCAGCCCCCTGCTCTCCCTGGACAGCAGCGTAGGGTGACAAGCAGCAGGTCCACAAGGGGAGCTGGATTTTAAACTGGCTCTCCTTGTGGACCAGCTCCCACCTGGCACCCCTTGCTGCTGCCTCTGATAGAGAGGCAGCAGCGCAGAGTGGCAGAGGGGCTCCTGGGGACAGGGATGGAGCATACTAGCCCCATTCCCAGGAACTATAGAATTAGACAATAAGAATTCACAAGGTTAATAGATTATTCAATTAACCATTATTTCACATTGCTAGCTTGGATCTTTGTCAAGAGTTATTTTTAAATGGGCAGAGGTAATTTTGTATTTTTTCTACATTTCACTCAGAATAAAGATAAACTAAGAAAACAGTGCTTACACTTTCCACTTCCTCCCTTTTGCACCCTACTGCACTTGGATTAAACAATATATTCCAGGCCCCAGAATACAAGACATTTACTATTGGTGTCTTTTCCCCCCAGGTTTGAATGGAAAGTAACAAATGTAAGCAGCAGTTTATTCTTAATGCTGATCTTCCCTCTCCTATAACTAAAATGATATGCCAGTGGCAGGTGGCAAGTTTGAGGGGGATGGGAGTTGTTTCTTTTTTCTTTCTTTCTTTTTAAAATAAATATAACAACAAAGGGCAGCCAGATTTGACCTACTGGGTCAACCCTCAAGAGTTAAACTGATATAAATAAATTAGACCTAGAATGTCAGGCACCAGCACAAATAATTGCTCCTAATGCTTTTAGGATTAGATTGCTAATGAAAAGGCACAAAAAAGAGGCCACTTGCAGTTGTGGAAATAAGTCAATTTTCCTTTCATATGTCATATTCTCCATGTAGAGCTTCTGTGATATGATCCTAAGGAGCCATTTATGGTTCTCTCTCCAGAATTGCTGCAGCATCAGCAATAGCATAATCAGAATATTTTGTGACTTAAAGCTATGTGGACAATATATTTATTAAATATGTTACAAGTTAAGGATTTTTTTCAGTGAAAATTAACTCTTAGGAGTAACATATTGCTTTTTCCCTTGGCATATAAATTCAACCAGATTATTCTAATAGAAACAGCACATTGAAATATTTTAAGCTTCCTTCAATCAAAAGATAAAAACAGTTTTGTCATAAATTATGTTACTGTTTTTTGGCTTCTTGCCTTGAATATATTATATAATTAAGTAATATCCAGTGGGATTTGAATAGCCCTCTGGTACATATACACTTGGTTTCATATATAATGCAATAATTTTATGTGGAGGTATACACTCTTCCACTCACAGATAGTGAATGCAAAGTTACAGCTTCCTTAACAAGAGGCAGCGGTTTCATTTGGTTTCTAAATTGCAAGTTTTCCAAGCAAAAAGTTTGCAGAAGTCATAAAACCAGAGAGCATATGTAATGTACACAAAAGACTCAAAGCTGTGCCTGAAGAAAAAGCTCTCTGCTTGCATCAGGGACAAACACTAGCCACACTCTTGCTGTGAAATGATCAAAATAAGCGCCCAGCTGGCAGCACTGATAAAGGGATAAACAGGGAGGCTGGAAAGCCCTCCACCCGTCATTTCTAGATGCCCACTTCTGCGTGGGGCAAGTTCAAACTGAAGTGAATTAGTGACTTCTCTGTAGCCCTGGTCACTAGGACCCGGCACTGAAATGCAGCGAACATAATGGACGGCTCGCTCCGAGAGCAGCTGCCCAACGCGCTCACTTCCCAGTGGCGAGAGGGTTCATTCACAATTCGGCTGGGGTAACAGACTGGCTCCCACTTTGTACAATTCTCATGGATCTGGGCTGAAGGAGTCCAAGTAAGCCTCCGAGCCCCCACTGAGAAAAAAAAAAAGAAGCGTTCCCTGTTTAGCCTGCGGAGCGAAGGAGACCCCAGCGCGTCCTGCTTTGTGACGGGGAGAGGGGAATGTGGCGCACAGCTGCAAAGGGGGCCGCTCCGTGCAACACAAAATGTTACGCTCCAGCCTGGCTGAACGGCCGGTTTGCCAGGATTTAATCGGCTCCCCAGGTAGCTCGCGGCCTGGGGGAGGG